AACCATACTCAGATGAAAGGTTGCTGCTAACGAGAAGGGATTAGGCCACTTGGTCGAAAGGCTGTCATCATCAGGCAGAAAAATTTAACTGTCTCTCTATGTGTAAAGGCAGCTGCTGCTGATAAAAGACCATGGATGATAAAAGACTATTACTGAAAAAGAAAATAGAAAAAGAAGAATCTAAATTCTTAGCATCAGAATGACTTCCATAGACTTGCTAGATTTTATCTCAAATTTCAGTATGCCTGTTGCAAATGCCTGTTGCAAATGCCTGAATTTTCATCAAAAGGACCCAGAAAAGCAGCTTTGCCAAGGTAGGTCAACCTTTTCTCACCCCACTTCAAACTTCAACTTTCACCTTCAAATTTCAACTTTCAACCTTTGAACCAACAACATTTTGAACTGTGAACTTTTCTAAGTATATTTTTTTGTTGATAAGAAATTGATTTATATAAACTGTTGCTCCAAGAAAAATTTGTTAAAATCCCTTTGTTGTTAAAGAAAACATTTGCTTTACATGAAATTTATTTTTCTAAGAAAAAACTAATTTGTATTTGAAAGAAGTGTTAACCTGTCTTGATAATGTAAAGTGCACAAGAGAAATTTTGTGCAAGGCCTATATTATAATTTTTATTATTTGTATATTGTGAAAAATACTTTTGTCTTTGTAATAAATATTTGTTTCTCTGCAAATTTCACACCATAGTAAAAGGCTTGAGTTTTTCATTTGCGCTATTCAGTACTCGGGATAAGGGATTTGGTATTCTTCCTTCTCCTTTTCTCCAATAAATCTTTTTTAATATCAGCTAGCTTCCCTTTTCAGAATCAGAGAGAAGGCATGTAACACACTTCTACACTTTGTTAACATGTTCTCTTTCTAAAAATAAAACCTTCATTTATATTGTTTTGACTTCTTAGTCATCTTTATCTCTTTATTTTAAATGTTTAGGTAAATATCTGTAGTAACAGGAGGGAGTACTGAAGCCCTTCTAATACTCTAATGATGTCATATTCAAAGCAATACAAAAAGCTTTTAAAATATTTAAAAATAAAAGAGCAGACCATTCTGACAAAACAAATGAATCAAAATATATTGTTCTACCCATCAACTCTATCACAACTACAATTGAAAAGAATTTATCTAAGCTTAACATAAAATGTGTTACTACTACTTCTAAAACAATAAAAAAATTAATGCAAAACAAAATAAGCTAAAACTTGAAGGAGGAATTTACTCTATCACCTGTAATAATTGCCACAAATAATACATAGGAGAAACCTCAAGAAATTTAAATAAAAGATTATACCAAGACAAAAGAGTTCTTTTACAAAAAACAGGCTCAATGCATTAGTTGCTCACCATGAGTCTGAACAGAATTTTGATTTAAAAATGTTTTTTTAGTTAGAAGAGAAAGCAATTTGCTAAGACAAAAGTGGATAGAAAGTACTTTAATCTCTATATCATCCACAGTAAATTTGGATCCAGGTTCTTGGCAGATATTCTATTATCACAATGTGGGATATTTAATGACAAGTTAAAAACATAAACAAAAAGAAAAAGAAACTAAATGAAATTAGCCAAACTATATACCCAAACACACGTTAAAAAAATAAAAATGTAAATTTAAAGGTTTGAAATTTCAGTATCCCCTCCTCCTCTTTGTGTGCATATGTAATCAACATAAATACCATTGTAGTCCAATGAAACCCTAAAGGATGAAATGTGACAGACATAAATATTTTTCCACATTCCTAACATAAATATTAGGTTGGAAACAAAGAAGAATATAACTAAAAAAAGAAGAGAAAATTTGTGTATCACTATGCTAAGGAGATGGCCTTATCTAGCATGGGGTTATTTGTTCTTGATGTATTTGTTTGTTTAGCAGCATATCAACTCCTTATGGGTCATTTAATGCTGAAATTTAATTTTCTTGGGAGCATTAGTAATTTCTTTTACAAAATTCTTTTAATCCATTAGAGAATTTGTAGGGTTTATTAAAAATTCAAGTTAATAAAAGAGTTCTGAAAAAACATCCTGGACCTAAAGAGATTAGGCAAAAAAGAATGAAGTAAAATACCAACAGAAACTTGAAAATCATTGATTAAAAGCTAAAGAAAGAGACTGATTGCTGTTGAATTGAGTAAAGGATATGCTATAAAGTATTAAATAGGTATTATAATTTTGTACAAATACTTTTTCACCTCCAAATTTTTTAATTTCATATAATTTCATTAATATAACATTTTTCTGAATATTTTTTTATATTGCAGCATTATGCCATGGTATACAAATATTGTATGGATTATAAAATTCTTTTATAAAATCTATGTTAAATAAAAAATTCATGGTATTTCCCATATTTATTTCAAGAAGGGATATACTTTTGATCAGTTAAAAGGTGGAATGAGCCAGCAGCAATCAACATTTAAATTAGCAAATCTCCTTATTTTGAGGGAGATATGTGATCATACGATTCAGCCTTAAAGGAAAGGAAACATTTCTGTTCAGGTCAACTTGTGCCATCAGAAACATTTCTTTATTTTATTAAATGAGAAATTGAAAAATAAACTCTTCTTGTAAGTACAAGATAGAGCAGAATATTATTTATATTTTGTACAGTTGAACTGTTGTCCTTTGTTGTTTATATCAGAGCATCTTGTTCCTTGTGTCCTCTGGCCTTTTTTTTAGGTGTCTGTTGATCTCTGGGAATTTTGAACTGAACCCTTTATTGATTGTTCTTGTCTTCTGTCTATGTATTGGAATATCTCATCTTTTGTCTTTTTTAGAACTGATCAATTATTGCTAGTCTTGCTTCCACTGAATCTGAGCCTGCACTACCCGGCCCAGGGATTGAACTCATAATTATTATGCCAACAAATTCACAAACCAACACTTAATCCTCTAGGCTATTGTTCCCTGGGACAATCCTGAGTTTAGAACTTTGAGCTTTAAATCTTATTACCTCCTTGCAGCTGAAGCTACCTATCAGATAATTTTGACTATTTCTCTCTCTCTCTCTTGCTGCTGCTACTGAAGCCTTACTGTCAAGCTTGCCTCTCATACCATTTCTCTTACTTTCTTCATTAATAACTGCCATATAGTATTTATTTTTATTCTAGGCCTACTGAGGAGGCCATCATAGCCTAGCATGTACACTGATTCCATCAGATGTTTGATTTTCCAGTGTTTTTTCTCTGTCTAGTATTTTCACTTCATTCCACAGAGTTTGGTGACCAACTCTTTTCCCTCCAGCAAACCATGCCTAAATCATTCTCAAAATGACATTACATTATTCATTACATAGTTTAGTATAGCAGAGCAACCATAAGAAAGCCACTTTTTCAAATGGCAATCACTCAACAGAGAAAGCAGTAAATAAGGTTGCTTCCTATAGTATTGTTATATAGGAATAAAGTGTTGCTGCCAACACTGTAGTTTGAACATAGTCACTAGTGAGCAAACACAGGCGATTCCATTTTTGAATAAGTAGATCATGTGATAGTAAAGGAAATGTATACATGGGAATTAGCATGGCATCTAATTGATCACCATTTCTATTCTATCCTCTATAGGGATCACTATTTCTACTCTATTCTCTATTACTACAGATCGCTATTCTCTATACTATTCATTATACTATTTCTCTATACGGATTACTATTTGGTGGTTACTTTCGAGTGAGTATTATTGAGAAAGTACTGTTAGTGTGAGTGTTATTTGAAGGCATCTGACACCAGTATTGTTCAATGGCATTACTATAGTTGTATCTGCAATTACAAAGTCTATACTACAACAAGCATTACGAAAGTGACAACGAGTATTCGTTGACATTACAAAAGTGGCAATGAGTGTTTGTTGACATCACAAGTTACTTTCATGTTTATTACTGTAGTGAATTTGCATTTCAATGGGTACTCAATACAAATAACCTTGTCCCAGACAATGCTAAGCTTAGTAAATAGCAAAAAGCAGGGGGCAAGTGTGAGAATGAACAGACCACTGAAGCTTCAGCAACTGACATCTTTTCAGACATATACTTAATTTAAATAAAACTGGAGATTGATTAGCCAAGAATTATCTCTAAATTACCTGCAGTCATTATCAAAACATGGTATCTTTTGTTATGGTGTAGGAGCAATTTGGAGTACTGGTAATTTTAAAAAATTCTAGAATGTGTGGTGATAGAGAAATAAGTAATTAAAAATAAATAACAAGATAACCAAAAATTCCACCATCTTTAAAAATAGATGGGTAATAAAAATCACCAGGCAAACAAAGCCATAGTTCAATGAATCAATCAGAAAGCTTTCACAACCAAGATGTAAGAAAAGCAATAAACAAATAATAACAAGGAGACCAAAATTTCATCATTTCTTAAAATAAATATTTTGACAAACCAATCAGAAAGCTTTCCTAACCAGGATATAGGCTATAAGCCAATGAAAAGCAGAGCAGCTTGTTCAAAGTGAATCTATAGATGTGAAAAATGGAAAATCAACCAAAATCAGATTCAATAAATTAATTTTCTCCATGCTGCAGTCATCATTACATAACCAGAGATAAAATATGACATTTCCATAACTAGCTGGCAACCTTAGACAGGTAAACCATCCTTGTTACATTGAAAACAAACATACTGTCTTTCATTCATGACATTCTCAAGTGGCAGCTATGACATTTGGATACATACATTCATATATTTGTTTGCTTCCACCTGGACTGTTTCTCTCTCTCTCTTTCTCTTTCATATGCACCAGGATTTTAACATTTAAACTCTTGAAACTTCATCTTTCATCTTATCCTTCTATATTATTATATTTAGTATATAAGCATTTTTTGTTGTCAGTTATCAAGAACAAAGAAAATGTATAAATTAACTTTCATATGTCTAAGTTTTATTAAAATTCTAATCATCGCTTTTTAAAATAAACATTGCTGAAGAGTGAAGGCAGTAAAAATAATAGTGGTGTCAAGGGAAAAACTGACCTTATGACACCCAGATGTAGTTTATCATAACGAACAACGAAAACAGCAAAACAGAACTGGTCAAAGTGTAAAAGATAGTTTGGAATAGAGACTGACATAGGAACAAATTAAAGGAGTAAGAAAAATAGCATTGCAATGAAAGGTGTATGAATAAAAATACTTTTCTTTCATCAAGTAATCAAGACACTTTTACTTGTTTCTTTTGAAATATTTCCTTTCTATGTTCTCATCTTTACTAGCTTTAGTTCCAAGAAAATTGACATGAATGAACTAAAATAAAGATGGAGTCAAATTTAGAAAGAAAAAGAAATGTGAACACAGTGAAAAAGGCATGACTAAAACATACACTTCTCTTTAAAAAGTCATCAAAAAAAAACTTTTCTTTTTTTCTTGACTTCCTTTGTTCTCATCTTTTTTGGTTTTTCTGACACAAATGCAGACTTCTTTCTAATACTTCTATCTATCTATCTATCTATCTATCTATCTATCTATCTATCTATCTCAGTCTGTCCGTTATCTATCTATCTATCTATCTATCTATCTATCTATCTCAGTCTGTCCGTTATCTATCTATCTATCTATCTATCTATCTATCTATCTATCTATCTCAGTCTGTCCGTTATCTATCTATCTATCTATCTATCTATCTATCTATCTATCTCTGTCCATTATCTATCTACCTACCTACCTACCTAATACTAGATAATAAGCTCCATCCATAGGACCTGCAAAATGTATATGCGATCTTGACCACGGACTGTGTGTCTTTGGCCAAGGTTCTATCATTATGATGGGTAGTTTTGCTGCTAGAAAACAATCTCTACATGCTTTTATTGTTTTTTCAATATCTTGGTCCATTCTGGTCCAATATACAAAATTCTTCATGAGGGATTTCATTCTTGAAATGCCAGGATGTCCAGAATGAAAATCATTTAATATACATTTCTGTAACAAACTCAGTATTACAATTCTTTGTTAGTGCATTACAACACCATCGCATGTGTTCATGGAAAAATTGCAGAATGCTATAATTGTGGTAAAAAAGAACATATCAAATCACACTGCAGAACTAAACCAAGAAAAAATTTTTGCAATGCACAAGATTGCGACGGAAAAAATAGGCACAAGAAAAAAAAGAAAATTTATTAACGTGCAAATAACAAATGTGGGAGTAAAAATGTTACTAAATACTGGGAGTGACATTTCAATAGTAAATGAAACCACATGGAAAGAAATTAGAAAATCTTTATTAAAAAGGACTTACTAAGTCACAGCTTCAATTTCTGGCAAGAAATTATTGAGGGTATAGAGAATTAATATGTGATGTTAATTTTTTAAATAAGCAAGTAAAAACAAAAGCTTATGTTCTAAGAAATGTGACAAATCTATTCAGTATGGACTGGATGGAACTATTTGAACTGTGGGATTTGCCAATAAATGCTTATTGTAAAAATGTAAGTGGACAAGCAACAAATTTAAAAAGTGACAGCGAAAAACTAAAGGAAAAATAAAAAAAATATTTTCCTGATGTTCTTTCTAATGAACTGGGTTGGTGTTCAAAATTCAAGGTGAATTTTCAATTAAAAAAAATGTTCAACGCGAGTATTTAAACTGAAATGAAGCATACCATTTGCAGCATTAGAACAAGTAAATGAAGACTTGAACAGACTAGAAAGAATTGGTGAATTGCAGAAAAGAAACCATTCAAAAAGGGGTGCATCAGCAGTGTACGTAAAGAAAAAAATGACAAAATTTGTGTTTGTGCAAATTTCTCAACTGGATAAAACAGTTGTCGTGAAACACACTCACCCATTTCCAGGTTCAGAAGAAATCTTTTCAAGGTTGAATGGTAGAAAAATATTTTCAAAGCTGGATCTCTCTGAAGCATATTTACAAATTCAGATTAAAAATCAGTTCTAAATTGACAACCATAAATACACACAGAGGTTTATATAAGTTTAATCAACTTCCTTTTTGTATAAAGGTTGTACCAGCTATTTTTCAACAAGCTATGGATACCATGCTGGTGGATTGTGATTTCGCAGTAGCATATCTGGACAATATTTTGATCAAGAGTGTGTCAGAAGAAGAACATGTTGGGCATGTCAAAACAATTATGCAAAAACTAAGAGAATATGGATTCAAGCTTAGTGAAGAAAAATGTGAATTGTTTTAGCCAAAAATAAAATACCTGGGACAAATTATTGATAAAAATGGTAGGAAACCAGATCCTATCAAGGCTAAATGCAATTAGAAATATGCCTACATCAACAAATGTAAATACATTACAAGCTTTTTTAGGACTGACTAATTATGCTGGGTATTTTGTTGTTGTTGCTTCTGTTTTTGCTGTTGAATTTCAACTATTGAAGGTAAAATTTTCTCGATATTTGCAAAAAAATATTTTTTTTAAACCAATGTGGTTGAAATTCTTGTAACTCCTGTTGCACATGTATGAGTTTTGAAAACATGGTCGTCCACTATTATAACTCCAGTTATAATGTGATTCTTGTTATATCATGCTTGAGCTCAAGTTCCTCACCAAATATTATAACTCCAGTTATAATGTGGTTCTTGTTATATCATGCTTGAGCTCAAGTTCCTCACCAAATATTATAACTCCAGTTATAATGTGGTTCTTGTTATATCATGCTTGAGCTCAAGTTCCTCACCAAATATTATAACTCCAGTTATAATGTTGCACTTGATTTAAAGATCCTCATTGCCAACTATTATAACTTCAGTTGTAATGTTGCAACTTTATCCTGTGTTTTCATTCGAGTATTCGCCAACTATCATAACTTCCTATTGTAAGGTTATTGCTATGATACACACTCATACTTGGTATAACATAATTCACATAAGTATTCCCTATACGTAATGCTTAGGCTATTGCTGTAAGTATGTACAGTTAGTATGAAGACTGACTCCAATATGACTACTACTAACCTCATACCATGGAACTCTATTGTATTGGATGAGTTCATGGAGTCACCAGGAGTGTACTCTTTACTCCACAACAATTAGTCTGCTCATATCTAACTGTATATCTTTCTATCTATGTTTATATCTATCTATCTATCTATCTATCTATCTATCTATCTATCTATCTATGTCACTCACTCACTACATCAAAAGGGTGCATCTAATTTCAGTAACTGGTCAAGAGGCCCATGGGATCATCTTATCCTGTATCCATTAGAAAGAAGGTAACTGTTGGTATGGAAATGAATTTTATGGACTTAGTCATCACTTTCTGTTTTGCTTACTGCTGCTGCCGCTGCTGCTATTTTAATACTTGCTTTGATAAATGAAAGTTGATCATTACTTGGCCTTCAAGTTGAACCCTGGTTATTTTTTTCAGGATTTTTCATCAACAAGAAAATTCTATTTACTTTCATCCTTTATGCACACAAACATATATGTATCTATCTATCTGATTCTGTTAATATCTATCTATCACAACTCATTCATATCTATCATTCTATCTATCTATCTAGCTATCTATCACAGTTTGTCTTTCTCTCTCTCTCTCTCCCTCACTCTCTCTCTCTCTCTCTCTCTCTATCTATCTATCTATCTATCGATTGATCTAAATACGTTGTATTAACTTCAACTGACAAAATCTGTTAACTTTTTCATTGTATTTTTCCAATATTCAAATGTGTTATTAGCTATCCAGATGAAAATAGTGGATCAACTGCCCAGAGTTCATGTCTTTCTTTGAGTACTTTTGATCCTCTCAGTCATTATCAGGAACTAAATGTTGTCAGAATCATAGACAACAGTTATTAGCTACATCTGAGTACTTTTTAGAACATTACATTCACTTTTAAATATATGCTTTACATAATGCATAAAACCAGAAACAAGTATATATATAGTTTATACATATTATAATTATTTAAATTATAATTATTTAAAATATAATTTTTTAAAATACACATTTTAAAATGCTATCTTTGGAGATAAAAAATATTTTATTTAGTTCCATTGTATAATTATAGGTTTAAGCATATAGATTTTTTCTACAGTGTGTGCTGTAATTATTTTAGTATTATAAACTAATATTTTAATAAGTGACAACTTAGCCTATGAGAGATTGTGATGCTTGTGTGACCAACATAATATTTAATATAGTTAAATTCCCAGATGAATTCTGTGGACAAGACAGATTGGTATAAAATGACAATTTGAAAAAAAATTTTAGATTTTGCCGATTTTTGAAAAAGTCGGAAGACGAAAGGTGTTGGCAAAATCTAAGATTTTTTTCCAATTGTCATTTTATACCATAAGATTTAATGTTGCAATTATTGGTATTGGTGATTCAGTCTCCCAAAGGACATGAACATTCATAAACAACATTGTTTTTACTAAGGGGAATATTTATCCACAAATTTTGATCTGGGTGTGCAACAAATTATTAAAAAATTGAAAAAATACACTAAAAATTTAAACAGAAGGACCTTGTTAGTTGAATTATATATAACTTCTTTAAATTAATTCTTGCTGTGTAAATATCTACTATCTAACTACTTATAATATATGACTGAGTGATTAGAATCTTAGAATCTTAATGTTCTAACCATGAGACCCAGGTTTGAAACTCACCATGCTTGATTTACTAAGAAGGTGATATTTTGATAATTTCAAGCAAGGAAGTGCCTGAAAATCATTCCATAGTCTGGTCTAAGCCTTATAAGTGAAATTCTTTAGTTGTGTTAGCATGAAGTCTGATTTTGCCTATCATCTGATTCATGCACCTCTTTGGCCTTTTTTTTCAGGAATAGAGGTTTATCCCTCCTTTCCTGTTTAAGATTGGGTTTCCTGTTTATTCTAAAGTTTTCTCATTCTCTTTCACTCCTAGTAGCCCTTTGGGCCTTAGTGGCATTATCACCTTGCTTGGAGTTAATTAATAAAAAAAGAAAGTCATCAATCATTGTGCCCAAGGGTTTTAGTATTCTAGCCTTGTTTAAACTAGTGATCAAGCCAGATTATACAATTACAGAAACTGTAACCAAAGTTAACTCAGTATAGCTGCAGTATAAATCATGGGTTGGCTCTATAGGGGTTGAAGCAACACAAATCTACCTGAGCA